TGGTTTAGATGACTGAGCTGGGATTCAAAACCTGGTCTGCAGAATCATGGTCCAATGCTCAAACCACTGTGCCACACTGGCTCTCATAGTAGAATGGAGTGTCTTACATAAAATGGCAAAATCAACAAATATTTTAGAAATATTTTCAAGCTGTTGATGGTTGAATCCATGAATGCTGAATCCATGGATATGGGAGAGCCAATTGTACTAATGCTTAATGACAGAATCAACCACCTTGTTGTAATATCAAATGGGAACAAAACCAAGATCCTTGCTAAGGTTTTAAGCTTAAGCCATCTAGTAATTTGGGTACCTCTTGAACAATCAATATTATGTTTCTTTGTTTTTACTCTAGAATACACATTTATAAACTGATTATGACCAAAGTTGACATTCACACTTAGGCTGACCCCCCATGTGATATTTACACATGATTTGATATTTTTGTGCAAATTCCAGAGTGACTGGCAACTTTCAGCATTTTTAAGTAATAACATCAATCAAGCCAATACCGGATAAATTTCCTAGCAGCCTATAAAACAAAGACAAAGTCATCATTCCATTTTTGTAAAACTGATTAAAAACCTGTAACACTCACCCCATAACAGGATTGAGCACTATTGCTCTGGGTTCATCTAGGTTTTCTGATATAAGGATTTTTCTTGATGTCCCATTCAACCGTGTGACTTCAATGCGATCTGTACCAGTGTCAGTCCAGTACAAGTTCCTGGCCACCCAGTCCACTGCTATACCATCAGGATGATCTATTTCTGTTGACACAATGGTCTGGGCTCCAGATCCATCAAGGAATGCCCTACGAATAGCTCTGACATCATCATCAGTCCAGTATATGTAACCTTCAACTGGATCGTAGTCTATTGCAATTGCATGCCTGATATTATCTATCTGCAGGATAATGTCAGTGAAATCTGGCATGTCCAATGAAATTCTTCTTAAATCTGTTCTTCTAGCAAGCAAAAGCACTTCTTCAGCACCTGGGAAGAAAGCATCACCAGTAATCAGCAAATGCTATTCTGTAAATCTGAGAGGCATTTTCTATTTAGAAGGCAATGCAGTTGAAACAATAGGAAAACCAAGACTGACTTAACAAGCATATTCCAATTTTGTTCAGTTGGGGTCATGGAAGAACGAACTTTGCTTCTAAGAGCTTCAGCTGCTTTCCAGTATGCAGACAAAATGTTACTTTCTGAACCTAAAAACTGTTTCCCCCGGCAATCTTTAACATTTCTATTTAAGTAAGCGGGAAAATCACACCAACTTACTGCATTCAACATTGCAAGGACTGCATCAGGAAGATTTATACTCTGATGACAACTACTTTGTATGTTTAGATGTGCAAAGAAACAACGGAAAATTCAGGTGCTACCCACAGAGCTACAATGCTACTTTCCCCATAATACAACTTTCTCTTTGAATCACCCTCTTCTTGATTTCTGTTTTTTAAAAATACATATTCTAAGCAAAATAAACAATACCAAATGCATATTTTAGTTAATGAGACTCACAAGTAATAAAGAAAATGAACAATTACGTCTAAATTTCATTTTCTTTCACTGTTTTAAGAAGATTTGTATATGATGTTCATAAACTAAAATGCAAAAATATAATGTGATTTCATTTTGCTTAATACAATGAAACCACATCCTTTGTTTGTGTAATTCTGTTTGGGAGAAATAGAGAAAATGTCTAGACTTCTTATACCACAAAGCTGTCAAACTCATCCAACAGTTGTTTCCTGAAGGCCCAGCATTAAATGTAGTTTCCATATTCAACACTCTTTAGTATGCAATATAATCTGAATATAGGCCAGAATATGAAGCACACTATGGAATCGAGGCTCATTTGGAGTCTGCTACAAGTATTTTCTTCCTTTCAGATAACTAAGAGGTGGTTTATACTGAGAGAAAAATTAAGCTTCACCTGGCATTTTCCCCGACTCTGTTCATGCCACACCTTCTAGAAATAAACCAAACTCACGTTGTACAGACTGCCATACATTTCCCATGCCCAAATTCAAATTGGTAAAAAAAGGGATGGATCTTTTTTCTTCCTAGCATGCCAAAACCTATCGACCAATAGCTTTATTGGTTACCTGTCAATTTTGGCAGCTTGCCTCTTGGCACTGAATTTGTGTTCCAACACAAATTAACTAAATTGCTACATCCTCAGCAGCCCATTTTAAGCAGCAAGTGACTTACCAAACAGTAATGTCTCTCCTCCTTTGTGCAAAAATGTGTCCATGTGTGCATGCATAGATCAAGGTTCCTTGGGAAAGAATTCCTGCACATGACAGTGTGTACTTTTTTTAAAACTTCTAGTAATTATCAGAGGTGAGACTATGCTTTTCAGGAATGCAGTGAACAGAGAAACAAAGCTTTGGTCTTCAATCCCCAGTGCAATGAGAACTAAATCCCAGAACAATGTGGCTAGAATACTTAAGAGAAAAGGTATCCATAGGCACCAGTAGAAACTATTTCCCCAACTTCCATGAGGGGAGGAGCAAATCTAGTTCCAAACATTTTGGAGAAGGAATAATCTTCTCATGCACTGTATTCTCTGTAAGAATATGCCATATTCCTGTATATAAGAGATGTGAAAGGGGGCACACAGTTACATGCTACATATTTAGGCATAACTTGTTGTTTTGTCCTCAGCAACCCCAAAGACAACCCAAGAGCTCATCTTAACTCTCCACTTCAAAGTTGAGGATGCTTTGAGAAGGCATTCTTCTTTGAAATCTTCAAAGTAAACTGGTACGTATCCAAAGGAAGACAATCTTTAAGAGGCCTTGGGTCTAACAACTCATTTTCTGTATTCCATTACTGCCATTTATCTCAGAGAAGTGATTCCCAATATAATTAAATTGTTTTCAACATCAACAGCACCCCAACTCAAGGTGCAAGTTGGGGAAGCTGTTCTGTAAGTAGGCACCTGGACACATTAAACTGCAGTCATTGGTGAGAATGTGACAGGTTGATGGGGGAATGATTACATAGCTGGTAATAACCCTGTAATTAACACATTGTATGGATTTTGGTTTGTTGTTGTTTTTAAACAAATATTTTTGTGCATGCTGTGCCATTACAGGAGAAATGTGCAAAAACAAACACAGTTCACAAAGAAAAGAAGTAGTATCAATGACCATTATCTGTGGACACAAAGCACATCAGATTATGGGAGATGCTGAATGCAACTGTAACAAGCCAACACAGCTGCAATAGGTGGAGGAATAATTTACTGTAACCTGCAGCATCCTCTCTTGAACTCCTTGTTGCCAGGATTCCTCCTCCCTCAAGCTCCCTTCACCAATCCTTAGTAAGTGAAAGCACCTCTGAGAGGTCTTTTCAAAGTCACCCCTCCTCTACAAAAGTCAGTGATACTGGCTCTGGGGCAGGAAGAAGAGGGGCAAGGCTGGTAGCAGAGGGGCATAGTGGAAATCCCCTGAAGCCCAGCATGCATACATTAGCCACAGAAGCCACAATATCCTAGCATTAGACTTTGGAAGGGAACAAAGCAAATGCCCACATGTTAATTTTTGGCAAGGCTTGAAGTTCTCTATAAGGGGTCAAACCTGCCTGCAGAACACTTTTCAGAACAATGTAGGGTTATCCTCCAACTTGTAATGTTAGTAAAATTGTTACTTTATGGCTTTATATTGCTTTTCTGAAACTTGTGTTAAGACTAAACAGAGGCAAAAAAAAATCTTTGCAATATGGGACAGGCAGGCTGTTGTGTTACTGTTGCAGCAAGATATACATACAGAGAAGTGCCTTAAACTTTTATTTGGCATACACTGTTGTGGACCACATCTCATCTGATTCTGATGAAGTGGGATATGGTTTGCTAAAACTTACATTAAATAAAATCACTAGTTTTTTAAAACCCATGTGATATTTTGGTGGTGGTGACCTAGAATGAGACATAGTTTAACAAATAAAATGTTACATAGTCACAAGAAATGATCCTGTCCCTCTCCTTCTAATATGTGTATCAGGACTAAAAAACATGGAACCCATGAAGTGCATGTGCCTCCATCCCTTTCTGTAGCCCCTAGAGTCCTCCATCTGGCATGTTTTTTTTTTACATAAGGAATGGAAAATTTCACTCCTAAAAGCCTCCAGGCAATGTGATTTAACTTCAGTCCCATAACACATATCCCCACGTGTACTGTGTGCAGATAAAAAAAGTGATAAAGCAGAAGTGGATATTTAGCCACATGGTTTCATGTGGGGGAGGGGGGAAACGACGTTCTGCTTATGATGGATAAGAATTGCTCCTTAGACCTTTTGTAGTTGCTACAATCAGAGGTTATGGAACAAGGCTATACAAAAATATAGAAATCACTGCTATGGGTATACCACCATGCCAGTGTACCTTCTTCATGCACTCCAGGTTCTGTACTTTCTCTCCTTATATTATTACATGAAGTTATCTACCAGATGAAACTGATTCCAGAAAAAGATTGAACACTAACAATAAATAAGTCCTATGATTTGAGGAGATTAGGGGATATCCATCACAGAAACAATCCAAAAGGAAAAGATGCTGGAGAATTCCACTAAAACTTGATGTAAAGTACCAATAAGGTCTGAGGATCTATTTCTTGGAATAACCTCCTTTTTCTCTCTCCCTCTCCATCTTGAGAAACTATCTCTCCTTGACATCACAGAAGGGATACTGCTTCCAACACCACTCAAACTTGCAGCCTTGGGATGCTAGTGACAAAAATTGGGGTTGATACTCAGCAAAATAACATGCCAAAGTAAACAGTGGTATGATAGTGGCCCTGGGTCTCTGATGACTTCAGCACATCCTTATATTCATTCTTCTTCAGCATTATTTTCCAGGTTTTACTCTTGGATCTCCACAGTGCAACAGTGGCCACGGGTGTTTTCTCCCTCATCCCAAGATATTCTACTTGGTAAGCAAGTTGTAGCCATTTTCTCACCTTCACACCCACTGTTCATTCATACTTCAATAACTATGAAATAAAATGGATTGCACAAATACAAGGAAGTTTGGATTGGAATGGAAAGAGATTCATTTTAAGAAGAAGAAAA